ATTGAGTGCATTCTGGATCACGGGAATACTTTTAGAGACACATAAGCCAATCAGAGCTGTGGTGACACCCTGTGGGAAATGCCTGGTAGTAGTACACACTGTGCACTAACTGGATTTACAGTTAGTTTGTCCCTCTGCAGACAGACGCGAGTTGGGCATGATTAATGTCTACAGTTTATGGTAATTAAACAATCAGGCAAATGAACAGGAATTTAGATTAATAAAAAAAACTTTCAGAAACGATGAGAAAAGACAGGAGCTTAAACAAAACCATCCTGCTATGAGACATTAAAATATTATATACTTAAATATGAATATTGACCATTTTCATTCAGTTTTAGTTTTTTAATTTTTGTTGTTTTGTTCTCAAGTTGGAGACACCTTTGTTTTTTGTTATATATATAAAGAATGTATCATAATAACCTTCAAAGGATTTTATCTCTCATTTTTAACATCTGGGCTTGATGATTTTTTGTGTTTGATCTCAGAATGAAGTCAATAATCTAACATCAGTTTAACAGTCTTTACTGAAAAGACAGAGCGAGTTAAGCGATTCAGGAAGAGATCTCACAACCAGAACTTAAACCTGGAGCTCTGCGAGTTAGGAGATGTTAGGAATGACCGAGACAGGTCACATAAGGTTCTGAGACCTTATTTGCTGGTTTCTAAATGAAAACATCTGGAGGGGTAATTTGTTGGCAGGCAGAGTTCCACCAGTGGGGCTAAATCTAAAGGTGACCATCAGGTGGCCTCAGATTTAAAACAACCTGTCTAACAATCAATCAATGTCTTTAACTCATTTTTAAAATGTCATTGTGTAGTTAGGTGGTATCATTTATTATAATTTCATTATTGTTTTTGTTTGCCTTGTCTGTTGCTTTTATGCACATTTCCCCCATCGTTGTTTTAACTCTTCCTTAAACTCAGCTTCATTTGATCTCATCTTGTTACAGTTTAATGTTTGAATAACAAAAGTTGTTATTTTTTTAATGCTATTATCATATAATTGTTGCACAAACCAAGTGCAGAGGCTGATAAGTTTGGCTGACTGTACCATAGAAATCCATTATTATACCAAACAAGAGCCATGCTGTTGCATTAAAGTGACATATGCATTATTTCACTATACTGGCATGTTAAGTTAAATAAGACTATTTGAATTTCTTGCTACAGAGTAACATGAACAAAAGTGCTCCAATCTCAAGTAAAGAGCTGTAAGCACACAGGTCAGAAAGTCATCCTGTTACACCTGCTGCTACCTTTAAAAACCAGGTGATCCTTCAATATGAACAAATAATAATAGAAAAAAACCTTTAAAGTGCAGATTACTGATTTTAAAGCAGCAAGGTTAGTTTATTTTCATACTTAAAAAAACCTTTTGAAATTGTTATAAGTCATTTATTGTGCCTAAATATGTAAACTGTAAAATGGAAAGCTTTATATTTCCCGTTATGACCTGTAATACCTGACGCAGTCTTTCAGCAGTACGGTATGAGACTGATTCATTAATGATTATAGATTTCGGTGGGGTGATGAAGAGGTCACATACCTTCAGTATTTAATTCATATACAGTTGTCTCACAAATGAAGGACTTATTTAGAAAAATAGCCTTAGCATTCCTAAGCGAGGTCTTCTTCCTTCAGCCGTGGATCTTTTATCCAACAGTTCATACCAACACTGAATCCTTTATAGGAAATTTGATTATCCCCGTCACACACATGCACTAAAGCCACATAGACAGTGCTGTCATCTCAGGGAGGCAGGTCAGAGAAACCACAAGAATAAAATGAAGAGGAACCCCAGCAATAGGTATTTAAAAAAAAAAACTAAGTCCAAACACCAAGTAAAGAGGGGATGTTTCTAAAGTTTGTGAACTAATCTTAAGTCCTTCTTGCTTTCAGTGAGAAGTCATTAAAGTCTTGCAGCTAAGCTTTTAAAGTCTCCTTGTTTGTAGATGAATTCATGTGTATGTGTGTTGACTCAGATTAATTGAAAAAACTTTTCTTTTTTTTTAAATTATGCAGTGTCTCATCATTATCAGTCATATTCCTGCAATCTGGTGCTTGCTTTCTGTGTATTTGTTTCTCTACACAAAGACATATCCACCTTAAACTTGCCTTCAACTTAGAGCTCGAGCAAAGTCTACACCAATTAATGCTTTTCTAACAGTCATTTTGGTCACTCAGTCAATGACATGTACACGTCATAACAGAGATAAACATATAAACTTGTCATGTAGCAAAGGAAGCTAAGGTAAGAGTCATGTAAAGAGTGACTTCACTCACATCTTCTCTGCATTTTTTGTCTTATATTTATACCCTTTTATAAGTACAATAAACTAAACCTGGTTTAAGGCAAGGCAGGCAGTGGTTACAACCAAGAAAACCTGAGAACAGTCTTACCTGCTGCACTGTGACAGACTACATACACACATATACACACAAACACACACACGGAGACTGTCTCAATCAGCACTAATGCAAAGTTCTGGTTAAACATTGGCCCAGAGTTTGCCTTCTGCCTTCTGTTGTTTTTACACTAAAGCTCCGGCAATTGTTGCAGGCATTATTGACTTAGTAATTAAAGTATTTTAACGTGGGGATTCTGTAATCATTACATATGCCGCCATCTGTTCCTGCGCCGCTGCGTGAGCACCTGAAATGGATTTTTCCCCCTGAGTAGATAACGTATAAAAACCAATCAAGAAGGAAGGTGGGAGGAAGGCCACATCTCTGCCATTCATCTAAATAAGAGTGAGTCATGACAGTGTGTGTTCAGTTTTTATTAAATTTTCAAGTAAACTGTCAGTTTCTTTTAGTTTCAGATAGTGTTTCTTTTTTTTAAATTGCTTTTCTTTCAGTTACATGTCACTGTTACAGAAAGTGCTCTTTCTGCATGATGTGTTTCTATGTTTTAGCCTTTGCATCTTCTCTGTATGATACACAGTTATGAAAAATAGGAACGTGGGTCTTAAAAGTGTCCAGTTGTCAATCTGTCGCAGGGCTAACACAGAGAGGCAGACAAACATTTACACTCACCTTTGTGGCCAATTTAGACTCCCCAATTAACCTAACCCTGCTAAATGCATGTCTGAACTGTAGGAAGAAGCCTGAGTACCTGGAGAAAACTCCCGCAGACACGTGGAGAGCGTGCAAAAAACCAGGACTTTGCTGTGAAGCAATAGTTCTACTATGCTGCCCATAATAAATACACAGGACAAAAATCACAATAAAAAAATCACTTTAATTATGCTTATCTTAGTATTTTATGATAAACCACATGCATACTGTCTACCCTTAGTCCATCTCTTTTGAGCTTAAGATTTTATTACATCCCATCTGGACCCCAGCGTGCAACCTGAAGAGCAGGCAGTAGACCCTGTTTTACTGAGTTCACCATTGGCAGTATACTTACAAACATCCTCCACCAGCCTTCCCTCTTCACTCATCTCTCTGTGTGTCTTTGTGTGTCTCATAACCTTTCAGTAAATATTTTTATCTGAGTTGTATCTGCCTGCATTGTCCCTCAGAGTAAGCAAATAATTACAAATAGAAAGCTCCCATCGTCGAGCCGCAGTCTTCAATTGTGCTTCCGTCCTTTAATCTCTGAGTTCGTCTGTTAAAGAGTCATGTGTTAAATGGTCTGACACAGGGTCTTTGAATAAGAGCAGATAAGGACTCTATTGGGGTCTATTGTTGAGTGGGTGTCAATCTGCTGCAGAGGCAAACAAGAGCACAAACTGTTCCCTGATCTGTTCTGTTCAGTGTTCCCATTATTACAGCAAATAAATAAACATGCAGCCAAAAAAGTAACATTTAAGTGAAGAATTACAATGACAGCTGTGCATTCAGTCCACCAGATTGGAACATCACAGCAGTTATTACACACGTGTCCTGGAGTTTTGCAAAAGTATTCAGGGTCCCGAGCCGATCAATTCTGGACTGAAAATTGGATGCACACATTTTCTTGTTCCCTTGAGGATTAATCAACCTGCAAATGTTGGTTTTTTTAAACATGGATAAATATCTGTGTTAACACACGAACACTGGTTAGATCACATTTAAAGTGACTGAGTGACATA